AAAATTCCAAGGTCCTTTTAAACCAAAACTATTAATAATCTTCAGTCCCCAAAATATAACTCTGATTTAGAAATTGCCTATAATACACAAGTCAATCTGCTTGTATCATCCTTAGAACTGCAATTAATATTACATATTAGCAGCTCTGCCCTGTTTTCTAACCATAGGCAGGTTTGTAACTCTGCTGTGCCTCAAATTCCCCATCTACAAAGTGCAATTATATAATACATTATCTGTATCATAGGTTTATTGTGAAGATGATATAAGTTCAGATAGAGGAAATGCCCAGAACTGTGCTTGACACAGTTATTTATAAGTGTTTGTGTTACCATCATCATTATTACTCCTTTATCATTATCACAGTATTATGACAATAAGTGATATAATTGTTATACTTAAAAGTATTTACATTCTACTGTAGATGTACAGAATGACAATTCTCTCATCTTAAGAACTGTTAAGTAGAAAATGACATACAAATTTAAGATACATTGGGCTAGCAGAGTAGCTCAAGTGATAGAGCGCCTGCTTAGCAATTGTGAGACTCTGAGTTCAAATCCCAGTACCAGAAGTTTAATATAAAATATTGTATAAGTCACTTAAAATGGAGGTTTAGAAGAAGAAAACTGGACTTTTTTCTTCCTTTAAAAACAAATGTTTCTCAGCATGACAGAGTTCATAATTATTTTGAAATAACATTTTTAAATTTGGAAGTGCTAATATACTGGTAGTATGTTTACTCTCAAATAAGTGAAACTTCAGAAAATAAAGCTCACTTGAGGGAAAACAAGCAAATTTTGCCTAGAAAGTTTATGTCTATATCTATAGTTATCTATATTTAGTAGATAATCTCTAAGCCTTTCATTAGATGCTTAGACCTAATTCTATATTATACAAATACACAGACACACACATGTACACACACACACGCTCAATGTCATTTAAAACTCAAGAGTCAAATTTGAATGAAAATCCTTCTATCTCTACCTGTGGTACTGAAAAAAATCAGATATAGGCCATGTGTGCATAGAAGAGTCACCATTGACTACTTTGACTAGTTTCTCTATAGAAAAGACAATACAAAATTAAATTCAAACCCCATATGAAGCATGATATTTATATTTTTAAAAATATTTCCCAGTCTGCCTCATTTAGTTATGTTTATCATCTCTTTGACATGTCTTTTCTCATATATTAGAAATTTTTAAAGGGATCAATAAAACAAAAACAAAAATGAAACCCAAAATCTCAAGAAACAGTGGTAGGAAGGGACAAATGCAGTACAGAGTTCTAGGAAGCCAATTTGGATCCCAGTATTAAGATCTGGGAATATATTTGTAAATCAGGAAGAAAAGCTTACACTGTCACAGGATCAAGCAATATTAAATAACCACTCAATAAAACTCAGTCTAAAAATACTAGATTCACCGTATCACATTGGATCTTTAAAAAATGTGCAGAGAACTATATACAGGTAATAATACTGTACCATTTAGAACAACAAAAGGGAAAAAGGTAGCATCTCTCTTTTGAGAATTTCACCAAAGAGCACCAAAATGACATTATTACTCCTGAACAGCCAACGTACATTCTGATTTCAACTGAGAAAGAAGGAGAGTGGCATAGTGGCTCAAGTGGTAGAGCAACTGCTTAGCAAGTGTGGGGCCCTGAGTTCAAACCCCAGTTCCATCAGAAAAAAAAAAAAGAGAGAGAGAGAGAGAAATAAGGAGCTATAGCTAACTATACAAATAGTGCCTTAGTATCATCACTGTCCTATGTAAACATTTTCCTCTGCTACATCTGCCTTCTATCTATCTTTTAGCTACATGCAATGGGTGGCCAAATTATCTTTCCATCCTCATCTTGAGTGTGGGTATGCCCATCTTATTCTAGACCAAATGTAATGTTACTTCCATCCAATATCAACTATGGTTAAATTAGAGAATAAAAAAATTAAGAGGTTATAATAAGAATTTTTCATTCAGGGAAAATTAATAGTAATTGAATTATTTTACCCTTCTTCTCTAGGAACTGAAATCCAAACTAAATCTTCTTCAACTGCCACAGAACCTGTAGAGATAGGCATAAGCAGTCTAAGAGAACTGGTGTAGTCAAAGATCTAGTGGAATATAACATTTAGCAAACGGCCTAGAAAAGTCAAAGTCAAATCTTAGACTGCATGGGACAACTTAAAATCTTCAGAAGCTTATGTGATTACTGTCAACAGTGTAGTACTCTAAAGGGAGAGAGGAAAGTATTGATAAAGGCTGAGTACCCTTCACCTGAAATGTTTGGGACCAGAAGTGGTCTGGATTTTAGGTTTTTTCCTGGATTTTAGAATATTTGTATATCCATAATGAGGTATCTTGGGGATGGGACCCAAGTCTAAACACTACATTCATTTATGTTTCATGTATACCTTATACATGAGGCCTGGAAGTAACATTACACAACATGTTTAATATACTACAGTTTGACTGCAACTTGCCAAATGAGGCTAGGTATGAAATTTTCCACTTGTGGCATCATTTTGGCATTCAAAATATTTCAGATTTTGGAACATTTTGGAATTTCAGATTTGGAATGCTCAACCAGTGTTTCTCTCTCTCTCTCTCTGTCTCTCAGTGGTACTGGGGTTTGAACTCAGGGTCTTGTGAATATTACTTCTTTTAAAATGTCTTTTGTTTTTCCAGATGAGAGAAAAATTAAGATTATATTAAAGTGTAAAGAATGTTAGAATAGAAAAGAAACTTACTGATGATCTATAATGAAGATAACCACATATTCTGGCTTGGACATATGTATGATTTCACATATCTTTTCATGGAGCTATTATCAATAGCTCCCCCTTCCATTCTCAAAATTTCCTGACTTAGATAGTAAATTACACAATTATGTTATCAATAATAAAATGATCTCAGTTTATCAATGGGAAACCCATTTAGTTAAGTAATTTCTTTAAACTCAAATGACCAAAATGGAACTGTGAGCTCCTTAAGGGCAGGACTCTGTCTTTTTATCTCTTTTTCTATAGGTGATCCAGGTAAATATAATTTGAATAAGTGACAAACTCCTTAATTCCCAGGTCACTAACTTGTTCACTCCATTATTATCCTCTCTAAGAACAAGGTTGATAATTTAATAGAAAGAGTGCCAGGTAACCAATAGATTTCACTAAAGGGCAATAAGACATCACTATTTTTGAGCTGCTGAGGTCACTGTAATTTACAGATAAGGCAAAAATGCTTTGAATGATTGTGCAAACTATAGTGTACTATTATCTTCACCCAAAAGGGAAAATTCACTTGTCCTCCACATCTGCTAGAAGTTTATTTTTAGTTCTATGCAGTGGGTGGACAACTAGTTGTTTCCAACAACACCTTCGGCATGAGTACAACCATCTTGTTTCCACAATCACTGTATTATAGCCTCCACTTATAAGTAAGTCTACAATTGGAATTAACTTGCCATGGCAAATATTACCATGGCATGGTAAGAATTTTCCAGTTTATAATTGAGGACGATAACAAGTAAGTTAAAGCATAATCCATCTTCCTTAGAAACTGAAATTGGCAACAATTTTCTTATGACTGATATTACAAACTAATATATTTTAATTTTTATTTAAAGCTGTGCAAGAGTTCTGAAAAGTTATTTTAAAATCAAAAGCCTACTTTTCATGAAGCTAGAAATCTAATTATATAAATTTGTTAACAGTGATAAAACCACCTCATTTTCAACTGAAAATAAAGAAGTAGTTTATACAAGGAAGTAAAAATCATGAGTACTAGCTGAAGTTTGCATATTACAGACAATTTCTTGAAATATTTAATATAGAAGATGTGTTATAGCCATTAAATAAGTGATATAAATGCTCATAACTGCCTGTCGATCACTGAAGTAGCATTACATAGAAAAATGTACACATTAGCAAATGACATTCATTCACTTTTTCTGAAAAAAATTTACTTAATAATAATACAAACTAGTGCACTGATAATTTCTAACATAACAGTATCTTGTACTTTTATTACAAAGGGAAATATTTGTTTCTATTTAAGAAATTCGTAATACTTTAATAATTTATTTTTATTGGTATATAGTATGAAAAAACTCTTGCAATGACTTCAAAGAATAAAGAAATAAGAATGATTTTATGCTTAGGAAAAATATATACATTGGTGGACTAATCACTGATTTATATTTAATAACATTTTTCTACATAGTTTACCTATGTGATACTAAAGGTAAATAACAATTAAAGAGTAATAATTGTTCCTTATGAATTCATGATATTGATTATGTTTCATAGATAAAGATGGCATCAGATGCAATGGCAAAAAGTTATGCATACTTAAAATTATTTTCCAATGAATTTGCACTGACTTCATTATGCCTAATAAACTCTCTAGACCTCCTTTCTGGTCAACAACATATTTGTATTAGTCTTAACAAAGGTTAAGTAAGTAGCTTTGATTATAAAATAAAAGGTAGGTAATAGTCCTACATGAAACAAATCTACTTGTTCTTACCTCTATGAACTTGAAATAAGTAACCAAAAATCTACACTAGTATGATTACAAATTTAGGAAACTATATGTTGACATAAATAAGGACATCTAAACAAAATGTACATTGTCCCTTTACATGGCTTTCATGTCTATGATTGATTTTGTACTGGATTATGAAATAATGATACCCAATAATTCAACAAAATGACAGAGACTGTTAAGAAACAAATACTTCCCTTTATTTGATTGCATTACATCTAGTCATGGGAAATTCATAATAATTGAAAATCTCAATCTAAAGACCTATAAATAATGCTATTTAACTGAAAACCAGCCAGCAAATACCATGTATTTGAAAAGTTTACTCAGGAAAAGTGATTCCCACTCTAACTCAGTTTAGTAGTCTAGCAGTAGGTTAGGAATTATAAGCATTTAAGAATCAGAAGAGAAATGCTCAAGGTTATTTTATCAACAGTGAATTTGCCTTACTCCTTTGCCAACTGCACATTGGTAGGCTTTGCTCCAATAGGTATCCCATATTTGTGCAAAGTGTTAATCAAAACCTCCCTCATGTCGTTGTTGTAGGAATCAAAGTCAAACACATTCCGAACCACACTAGAGAGGCCTTCAGTGGGAAATTTCTGTAAAAAAAAAAAAATCATTATTATATATGTGTTAAAGAATACAGTATTATAAAAATTTACAATGCTAACAGAATAATGCAAAATGAACATCAGAAGAAATCTACTGGCCTTTTTAGATAACCAGATAGATAGTGGGAATACCTATGTTTTTCTCTTTCAATGGTTGTTCAGATGGCTTCGTAACATTTTCCATTTAAAATAAATATCAGAATTTGAGAAGCGGCAATTTTCTTTTCAAATATCAGGGCAGAGATCAGATCCTGGTGTTCAGCAACTGCCACTGCCTTCTGAAACCTCCTGTGTTTAACATCAATTTAAAAATGCTAGTTGAAGTAAAAGAGAGTGCTAGATATCAACAGAAAAGTATTGAGAAAATTTGGTCCATGAATAAATAGAAAAAGAAAAGGAACAAGAAAAGGAGGGAACAGGAACTAATGTCAAGATCAGTCAGAGATGAATCAACTTGGGTTGTAACACATTTGTACATGAAAGCAATGCTAGGAATCTCTCTGTATAGCTATCCTTAACTCAACTAGCAAAAATGCTTTGTCTTCCTTATTATGCTTATGTCTTCTCTTCAACAAAATTAGAGATCAAGGCAGAACAGGTTCTGCCTGGAAGTGAGGGGGGAGGGAGGGAGATGGTGGGTGGGGGGTAGAAATGACCCAAACAATGTACGCATATGTGAATAAATGAATAATAAAAATTTTTTTAAGAAAAGAAAAAAAAAAGGAGGGAAGAACAAAAAAGTATGGTGAATGGAGAAATAGGAGGCAGCAGAAGGAAAGAAAACAAGGACCACTATACCTACATGTACAGTGGGTTCTTTACTGGCTGTTTTAATTTTCTTCAGGTGCTGGGATCTAACCAGGCTACATTGGATTTATCATGGTTTTATGGGCAGAGCAAAGCTTTTGATTTTTCTTCTTACATGTAATTTATAATTTTATACACTTATGGGATTTTTATGTAATTTGTAATTTTACATGTTTATGGGATAAAATGTGTTGTTTCCATATTTATACACATTATGGAATAATTAAATCAAGTTAATTAACATGTCATCACTTTGTACACATTTGAAATCTACTCTCGTAGCAATTTAAAAATATATATTACATTCTTATTAACTATTGTCTTTAATCATCATGCTGTGTAAAAGATCTTAAAAACTTATTCTTCCTGTGTAACTGAAATTTTGCACCCTTTAATAAACAACTTGTCCCTCCTGCCCCACAATGTTCTATTTTTCTTTCTAGGGTTTTCTGAGAGGGTTAGGTATAGGGGACAGGGTAAGAGTCAACAGGCTATAACTATCAGCTTGGAGACCATTATTTGTTATATAAGCAGAATTTACATGAAGTTGCTTTTTTGTTTTCTTTTTCAAGTGGACTACACATTGTACATGGTCAGAAGGAATTTCATTTTCCTGACTGTTTATCATGTAACACTTCTTTGCAATACTCACAGTGTATTGTCATTACTGTTAGTTCCTAATCTGTTTTCTGCCTTCATGTCATTTGTTTCAAAATGGAAAGACTTTTTATCTAGAAGCCACATGCTTGTTGTAAAAAATCAAACTAAAACAGGAATGTTTTCCACTGTCTTACTCTCTTGTCTCCAAAAAAACCTTCACCAAATTTCCTAGCTTCTTGATGATGACCATGGCAGAGAACACTGCCAAAGCCAATTCAAATGCTAAACAGATAATGTTCACTGTTCCTTTCAGGTTTAACTTAATAAATTAAACAACTTCATGTCATCTGACGGATTATTTATAGAAACTGAAATAGCACAGCCTGAAAAAAGAGTGATGGCTGTTCCTAAACCTCAGTGTATGCCACACCTGTAAATGCTTGACGATGTTGACAACTTCCCTGGTGGAATACGGATAGTTGATGATGCCTTGGTCAGCCAAGCTCCTCAGCTCTCCAAAGGCAGCCACAAGCTTCTGAAGGATGGGTTCAGGCACATTCGGTCCATACCGCTTGAGCATCTCAAGCTCTGCGTGGGGTTTGGGGTTGTCAACTGCATGGCAGCTAAAAATGTCACCTAAGGGAGAGAAGTGTCACATTCAGCATGCAGCTAATCCATAATAATGCTGCAGGAGAAAACACAATGGTTATTTAGAGACATTGGCTACTCATTAAAGTACAGAAACCCATCAAACAATAGGGTGGTAAATGACTGAAGCAGAAGAAAACAGGAGGTTGATCAGATAGGCCTCATTGAGCAAAGGTAGGTATCTCGGGAAGAGCACTGCAGGTGGTGGATAAGGTATAGACAAGGATCCTAAGTCAAGCATATCTGGCATGTGGAAAAAAGAGAAAAAAGAGCAGTGTGGCTGGAATAGAATGAGTGACAGGGAGGGCAGTCCACAGCAGAACAGGGCATGACGTCAGAGAGAAGACAAGAAGATTATGGAAGACATATAACATAGGGACATTGGTGAACTGTTTGTACAAGATCTGTGCTTATACTTCAGTAAATGAAAGCCAGGACGTTTTTTTTTTTTGTTTTGAGAGGAGTTAAGAAGGAATCTAAATTTCATGGGCTAGAGTGATCCTTCTGTGTCACCTTTCCAAGAGTGGAATATAGCATGTTTCCCCACTCATCAGTTAGGGAAGATTATTAACAGAGAGATGGACTGATGTGTTGAGAGGAGACTACATGAAGGGTGTTTAGGAGACAAAATATCATGGGTCTGTAAGTATTGCTGTCACTTATTAGCAGAGGCTCTGACCACACTGACTAGTTTTACAGGATATTTGTAGAGAAAACAGCTTGGAGGACAGTTGTCTGGTCTGTTGTCTCTCTTCTGCAGCAGGGGTGCTTACTACCCATTATAAAAAGATGTGGTTTACCCTAAGCTCATTTTGGTTCCTTTCCTGTAAAGCATTTTACTGTAAAGGTCAGAAATGCAATCTGCCTCTTTGGTTGCTCTGTGGGAACTGACTTGAGAACCAGCACAATGCTGATCTTTAACTACTGCTTTTGCTTTTGTTTGCCTGTTTGCTGACCTTGGAGTCTAGTGTCCCTGCCAGGAAACTGTAGCAGGATAAACTTGGTTAGGTTAAAGGTAGGGTAAGAATTTAGATCCTGCAAGATCATTAGAAAGGTAACAGAGAAAGTAAGGAAGTAGGAAGACTTATGAGGGGGACTATTGCAAGTAATCTACTGGGGATGGATGGGTGGCTGATATCAGAATGGGAGGCGAGTGGAAAGTGATGGAAAGCAGATAATTCTGAATATATTGTTGAGTGTAAGGCAATTTAGATAGCCAGATAAATGGTAAAAATGTATGAGAGAAGAGAGAAGTCAAACGCATATTTTTGGCTCCAAGAAGGATGGAGTTATTTCCATCGGATGAAAAAAATACGAACCATCAGAGGAATTAATAACATGTTAGATTCCAAGATATCGGAGCTATTGACAGGCCATTGGACTGAATGTGTATCTAGGAGAGAAGTTGAAGTTGGAGATAAAAAAAATGTTGGCACATATTAGGCAGAGAAATAGTAATTTAAAATATGACATGTTTTTAAATTTTACCAAGGAAATGAAGTATGGAAGTTAAAAGAGGTCGCCAAGCATTTCAACAAGAGGCTGAAAAAAGGAATGGTAATTAGTTTAGGACATAATGTTAGAAAGCACTTGAAGAAGTACTGGAAGTCAGTGCAGAAGATGTATCAAGGAGAGGAGAGTGTTTAACACACCATAATTAAAATACTGCTGACAGGTTAAAGAAGAATGGAGTTACAAATTGATCACTGGATTTACCATCAAAAGTCTATGATGACTTAGACAAGAATTATTTTCTGGTAGAATAGGAGCAAAACTCTGGTTAGACCAACTTAAGAGATGGAGCCAATTGCACACTGATGTTTTTAATTGCAGCATGTTACTAACCAGCTATAGAAACAACTCAGATGCTACAACTGATGAATGGATTAAGAAAGATGTGGCATAGGCACACAACCCACACACACACACACACAGCACACGACCGCACCCAACACACTCGCACAGCACACAAATGGAAGTTTTATTCAGCCTAAGGAAGATTGAAAAATGTGCTTCTTAAAAGTTAATTGGATACTGGAGGACATCATGTTAAGTGAAAGTAAGGAGGCTCAGATAAGACAAGGTTGCATGTTTTCTCTCATATGTATGGAGATGATAAAATATAAATACAAGCAGTATATTGTGAAAACAGGTTTATGCAAGGGAAGGTCCTACGCGAAGGGAAGAGGGGTAAAGAAGGGAAGTTACAAGGGAATATGGTTGGATGATACTTTCATACAGAATTGAAATATAGAATTTTTAAACCTGTTAAAATCACCATAAGAAGAGGAAATAAGGTCGAAAGGAGAAAAACAGAGGAGATGAACCAATTTGGGTTTATAATAATATGTAAGAACAGAAATGTCATCAAGGAAACTCCTGTATTGCTATTTTAAAACAAGTTGCTTTTTTCCAGAATGGAGAAAGGACATAAAGCAGGTCTTTGGAGTTGGTAGCAGTGGGGATGGGGAGGTATAGAGGAAAGTTGTGCAGGAAGGTGAGAATATGGGTGGCATTTTTATGTAAACATGTATGTAACGGAAAAGTAAGACCTTTTTGAAACTATTCCAGGAATGGGGGAGGGAGGGGAATTAAAGGAGAATGATGCGAGGGGTGAAATTCAGCTATGATATATTGTAAGGCATTTGTAAATGTCACATGTGCCCCAGTAAACTACAATAATACAATAAAAATAAATAATAAAAACTGATGTAAGAGAGGTGGTGAATGAAGAAATGGAGAAGGAGAGTATGGACAACTCTTCTGAGCACAAACAACATGTATATTGGAGTTTTGCTGCAAAGAAGAGAGAAGAATCTAGGGCAGCTTTGCAAAAAAGGTTGAGAGGGCATGTTTTTCAACACTGAGGAAATAACCCCTTGGTCGCTTGCTGATGGGCATAAACTAACAGAAGAATTGCTGAGTGGGAGGGGGGGGCAGAATCGCTACAGCGAGTTATCCTTGAGAAGGTGGGCTCGAGTGCCCTCTGGAAGACTGGGCTTAGATGGGAATGTGAAGTTTAACGCTTTAACAGGTGGAAAAGCAGAACACTATAAGTAGGAAGACTTGGTGGTAGTAGCTGGAGACATTCGTTTTAATTGCTTCCGGTTTTTTCTAGTGCAGTCAAGGAAAGACAGGAAAAAAACAACAGGTGTCTGAAAGTTAAGGGTCAGTAAGCTGAACGCCGAGTTATGGTATGGGGAGGGAATGGGAACTGGTGGAAGACTGAGGACTTTTCCTTCCCCTCCGTGAGCACTTAACTCAATTTCTTCAGAGTGTGTGAAGCACTGCATAATTTTAAACGCAATGAGTTCATGCAATAGTGTAGACTATGAGGAGGGAGAAGATCTGATTATGGCCTGGGAGAAAGGGAAATGAAAGGACCAAGGAAACAATGGCGTGACTGAAACGAAGGAACTTAAGGTTCAGTCAAAGAGTTTAAAGTGGAAGATTGTTCAGAGTGGTTTTATACTTTTTCTACCAATTCAGTTGTGCATGTGTAGGTCAATGTAGTCAGGAGTACACTGAGTAAACGTTAAAGAACCAGGGTTGAGGGGTTCCAGTGCCTAGGAAAAGCTGAGAGGACTAAGGAAGTTAAAGATTTATTGCACGAATGTAGTTGATATGAAATGATCACAGATCAAAATCAGAAAAGGAGAAATAAAGTACAAGGAGTATAGTGAAAGCTAATAGAATAATAGACTGGAAGTTTTCTAATAGGTTTGAAGGGCTGTTGGATTGTGGACAGAGATGAAAATGAAAATCTGAGGAGAAATAAGAACAGAATCATGAAACTGAGATTATAGAAGAGTTTTCAGTTTTTGGAAACTAGGGTATGTTAACAGGAGTGAATGGCTAAAGGTAGTGAAAAGGGTAGATCACTGGAATAAAACAGTCCAAGGAGCAAGACTCCAGGTAGGGGAGAGACCATGTATACTGGCAACCACTCCAAAAGAAGTAGAGTAGAGTGAGTGAAAAGTGGAACAAAGAGCCAGATCCTGAGAACTAATAAGGAACAAAGAGTTCAACATGAGGTAATCTGATGAATGAGATAATATAGCTGGAATTTTAAATAGAAGGACAAGAGTATCTTAGAAGCAGCAATAAGAAGCAAAGTACTCCTTACTTTCTCCAGGCCCAGAGGGGGAGGAGGAGGAGTATCACTGCTTGAAAGGACCTTCAGTGTGGGGAGGGCAAATTAAGGGAGTGCAAGAATTTTTCATCTGGAATAACAGTAAATAGTAACAGTAGATTTTCAAGGATTTTGGGAAGTCTGAAGATTGGGAGACAACAGGAATGCCTGTTGTTGTAGGCATTAAATAAATGCAGGGTGACCTGGGATAAGAGTGACTATGAAGAACTGAAACAATAAAAAAGAACTCAAATCTTTCTCACTAATTACAAGTAATTGTAGGTTTATTTGGGGTGTTCACATCATGTGTTTTCTAAAAGCGATCAGTAAGTATATGAATTTGTCAGCAATTTTTAGAAAGTAAATTGTAGTAGTAAAAACTACAAAAATGGTGTAACTGCACACATTATAACTCCTCCCTGACGCCAGCGAAGCACCAGTCTGTCCTCTTTAATAGAATCTATGCTCATACAAGTACAAAAACGCGGTACACATATATCCCGCCTTTGCCTGTTGCAAAATAGAGATGGAATCTATATAAGCCCACATTCATGATTACTGCTTCAATAATATTTCAAGATTGATTCAATTTATTTCAACATGAAGCTATCATTGCCCTCACTTTTTTTTTTAATAGTTGCAATATTATTCTAACTGTGTGGACACAACAGAAATTTTTTTATGTCCCATTTGGATGGAGAAATTTGGGTTGTTTCATTCTTGCTGTTGTAAACAATGCTGCAATTGCCTATCTTCTGCTGCTATTATTGTCACTGCGGTTGTTTTTACTAAGGTGCCAGGAAGAAATCATTTGCTAAGAAAGGAAATCCAGGTCTGTTGGCCAAGAACAATCATC